ATGCCCACGTGAAGACAAGGATATGGATATCAAAACAGACTTTCATCAACAGTTAAATGACGTGATAAATAGTCTACCAGAATACGATATCAAAATAATATTAGGAGACTGCAATGCAAAAGTTGGGCGTGAAGACACTTATCGAAACGTTACAGGAGGGAACAGCCAACATGACCTCTCAAATGAAAATGGCAAGCTCCTGATTAACTTTGCAATTGAACAAAATTTCAAGATAATGAGCACTTATTTTGACAGGAAAGATATTCAAAAGACAACATGGATCTCACCAGCTGGTAATACTGCCAATCAAATTGACCACCTACTGATCGAAAACAAGCATGCCTGCAATACACACAATGTTAGAAGTTACCGTGGTGCAGATAGTGATACAGATCACTTTATGGTAGTAGCTGTTATGAAACAAGAAATCCTGAAGAAACAGTTAGAGAGACAGAAGACAATCAAAAGGTACGAAACAAAAGCGCTAGAGGATACGTCAGTTAGACAGCAACTTGAACAAGCAATAACGACAGGACTGCAGAACACACCAGTTGTGCAGGATGTTAATTAGGAATGGAATCATATCCAAGCAATAATCACTAATGTAGAAGAACAGATGATGAGAAAAACGAGTACTAGAAAAAACCAAGAGTGGTTCGATGATGACTGTAAACGGGAGTTGGAATAAAGACAGAAAGCTAAAATACAAATGAGAACAACCGAGTCAAGGAAAAGATATGACAAACCAAACGGAAAGTGAAAGAGATGTGTAGAAAGAAAAAGCGTGAATACTGGGAAATTAATTTGAAAATGATAGAAGATCACATGAAAACAGCTATTTTATAATAGCTATGAACAAAATCTTGGTTTACACGCATTGTTTATTGATTTCAAGCAAGCGTATGATTCCATTGACAGAAAAAAATTATATGAAGTTATGAGATTTCTAGGACTACCAAGTAAACTGATAAGGTTAGTCAAAATGACAATGAACAAAGTCACATCTAGAGCTTTTGGCGTAACGAAAGGCCTGAGACAAGGGAAACCGCTATCCAGAACATTGTTTAACTTTATGCTGGAAGCTATTTTACGTGATTGTGGTACACAAACCGACGGAGTTGTTTACTATAGAAAACATCAGTTGATTGCTTACGCCGATGATATAGCAATAATAACCAGATCCAAAGCAGAACTTGAAAAGACGTTTAGAAGGTTAGAAGAAACTGCCAAACGTTTTGGGCTTCATATAAATGAAGACAAAACAAAATACCTAGAAATGAGAGGAAGCGACGAAGGAAAGTTAACAATAAAAAGTAGTTGCAGAGAATACTGTTTCGAGAAGGTGAATCAATTTGAATACCTAGGGGTCACAATAACACATAAAGCAGAGGATTTAGAAATTGAAAAAAGAATAGCAAAAGGGAGTAAAGCAATGGGGGCTGTGAGCAAGATGATAAACTCACTGTGGATATCAAGGAAAACATAGGAAAGGATATATAAATTGGTTATCCAACCATCAGTACTTTACGGCAGTGAAGTTTGGGTGTTAAGCCCGAGCTCAAAGAGTGCGCTGGCTAGGACACGTTTACAGAATGCCAAAAAAGTTTTGTTTGGAGGAGAAGGCAGTAGAGGAAGACATGAGAAGCAGTGGCTGGAAAGTGTCAAAGAGGATATACGAAGGGGTTTTTCTAGACAAAAGAACTTACATCTCACTAGCTAATCACCAAAACCCCATAGTATGTTATATCAATCTTATTCTTTTGAATTGGTTTATCCAAATATGCAATAAAATTTGAGGCATTCCATTTGACAAATCACAACTTTGATATGTAGGTCGAAATTGGGACACCCTGTATAATGGACAATATTTTAGAAATGTGCCCTCAAATGTCATGTATAACATCTCATGAATAGATTTTCCCAGAATGTATTTGTAATATTCCGTCCACACATGGATGGGCCACCCTGTATATATACATACTCGTATATATATGTTGCATTTTCCAAAAGTCTTTAACTTCCACATGTTTAGAGTTCTCGTTTATACATCAGAAAATCAATGCCTATATGAAACTATAAAGAGTGGACAGAAAATGATTGAGGACCCGTATTTAATGTGTAGGAGCGAAACAGAGAGAGAAATACGAATGATAGAGCGAGAGAACAAATAAAAAGTCCACAGACTCATCATTGAGTCAAACACGCTTCATCCTTGCTCTACATACGTGTTTTTCTCTTTATCTCTATCATACACACTAAATACAGAACTTCAATCATTGTTCGCCGATCCTGCAGGTGTTTACATAGGAATAGATGGGGGTACTGGGCAGCCTCGAGGCTCTATGTAAACATACATCTGCACCCTCGATCGTGACTCCTATTTTTTGAGATATCAAAACTTTTGTGCATAGGAAAGGTAAGAGATTAAATAATTTACATTTTTTACCGAAACATTCTTTGTAAAGTTTTATGGGAAAAAATTCTCAGCACGAACATAACTGTTATTTGTGAGATATAAACATGGATTTTGAAAATGCGATTGAGATAGTACAAGAACCATTTTTTGAACTGAAAAGTGAACAGAAGAAATAAATGTTATAATGGAATTACAGATATATGTTTACATAGGGATAGAAAGCAAAACACTAGTCTCTTTTTTTGGTACAACTCGCAACCAAATATTCGTCACTTAACTAGATTTTTGTTGCAGAATCACACGTGGATAAGGAAAGCAGAATCCGATGATATAGATATAGCTGGTTGGGTGTGCAAGACTATGGAAATTCAACCTCCAAACAAATAGTTGTTGATCAAACATATAGGAGTATTATATAGTTAAATAGTTACTATCAAATTACAAAAAGTTAGCAAACTCAACTTTATTATGTATTTAAGTACTATTTAGTTTCTATTAATTTATTTTGAAGCTTTTAGGTGTATTTATAATGTATACAATTTTTTCTTATGTCATGTAGATATTTGCTAGTTGAACAGGTGATTCAATTTGTTGCATATGTTTTTGTTTTTGATAAAAATGCTTTCTTAAAGAACACTATTTTGTTTATATTTTTCAAACCAAACCATAAAAATAACTGAAGAGTAGCACCAACTTGCAAAAATTACAACATATTTATTACACCATAGCAATCAGTAGATGAAGAAAAGTGCTGTACAGGGTGTTATTTGGTCGGTTTTTGGGTAGTTAGGCCGTCGTAAAATATTTTTTTTGATGTTTCGCCAACACGAGTGGTTGGCATCTTCAGAAGGTGTTCACAGTTCAGACTTCTGTGAGCTGTGATCAGTAGCTGATTTCAAAAATGTATGACATACATTGACATTTGACAACCCCCAGTTATTCAAGAAAAACAGAATTTTCTAGGTAGGCCTTGAAATTGCCAGATTTCATTTGTTCCGTATATCAGATCAGACGTTAAATTGAACATAGCAACAGAGTTTAGAAGACTGAGAAGAAGATAATTGCATTGAACAGTGAACACTGTGCAGAGAAGAGTCGGGCTTTGCCCACAAAATATGATTATTATTGTTATTGCCATAAATACTTGTTCTTTTCAGGTTTCACCATACCTTTTTTTTACTTATTTTAATCCAAAAACAAATTCCTGGCCAACTGAAGAAATACATCACTATATTTGGGACTGGAAAGACCTTTTAAATGTACAAATTTCCAATATAGCGTCCATATGGGAAAACAAAGTTGTTTATGGAAGTCGAATGAAAAAATGTCGAATTGAAAATTTGACTACGCCAAAAAATAAAAAGGATTTTGGGATAAATCTGGTATGCAAAACAAATGACTATCTGATAATTTCAAGGACTATGTAAAAAATTTTGCTTTTTTGAAATCTCTAAGGGCCGTATCGTCAGACGTCCCTTGATTTTCCTAGTATTATCTCTCCAGAAAGGTTGAGGAATTTCTAGATTTGTACTGTTCCGTGACAGCGTCAGCGTTCTCCTATTGTGAGCCTATGTTTTCTTTTTGAATTGTCAGAAATTTCAGGCTGATATAACAGATGAACAATTTGACGCAAATTAATAGATACATAACCTCAAAACAGAGTGCTGACATAGAAGCTGACATAGAACAGTTGAAAACTATGACAATCAAGGGGGCCATAAAGGCGTCCTAATTGTAGGAGCGACTGACGATACGGCCCTAAGGATTGGCGATGTCAATGTATGACATATTTTTGGGACCAGAATTAAAATAAATCCAATATGGCGTCCATAAGAAAAAATAAAGTTGATGGAGGAGAGGAGACGAAATTTCATATTGAAATTCTAATTATGCTATCTTGTAAAGGAGAAAAAGTGGCAATGTTAATGTGCAAATCATTTTGAAATTCCACTAAAAATGAAGTCAGGAAAAAGTTAAAACGATTTTTTGAAAATCCGGTTTTTCCGTCTCTCTCAGGAAGTACCTTGAATTTCGAAATTTTATTATGGGCATTTTGTTGATTACCTAAATACGTAACTTTGCCTGCCTTTAAACGACTTTGAATCCCTTACAGTTTCCGAGATCCAAATGGTAAGGGTCGAATTTGAAACACTGTGTATAGATCATGATTTAGAAGATATTTCTCTATCATTTTAAGATTGAATGAAAATATATGAATGTGTGGAATACGTCTAATAAGTGCGTCGAATTTCCGGGGTTGGAAGCATATAAGTATACCTTCAAAAAATTGAGTTCCCCCCAATTTACAACAGCCTAAATTTTTTCTGAAAATAATGAGGAGCCACTGAAAAGTAAAAAAATGAACTTTAAGTGACTTTTTCATCTGTTTTTTGACCTTAGCTCCGCCGCCACTGGACCGATTCTCAAAAACTGCAAAGCTTTTTCGTCCCCATTTTTCGCGATTACGTTAATTCCTCGCCAGTGTCATAGAAAGTAAAAGTAGCCAAAAGCCATTTCTCATTAGGATTTTGTAGGAATCTTTCATAGCGCCCATATTAGTATAAATAATAAAAATTGACCTTACCAACGTCCCGTGAGCCATTTTGATGCTCCTTCAGCGGTGGAACCGCTTCTGAAGACGAGATCTTGTATCTCTTGAAGCTCAGATGGATATATCTGAAAAATGGAATGGGCTGGTCAGTGGTTCAAAATGACTGAGTAACCGGGGGCGGTGCTCTTCAATTTCTCCGAACGGCAAAAATTAATAAATCGCTGCTTTCGCAGGTACTCTCCTACGTGCGTGTAATTTGGATAAAAAACTCCAGTTTTTGTATCCCTATATACTTAATCAAACATACAAATCTTCAACTACTAACAAAACTGATAATGTTACACATCACGTATTTTAAAACCTGCTTTTCCTAAAAAATCTATTTAACATGATAACATGAGAGCAATTCACTTTGAACTTACGCGATGCTTCACGCTAAACCGGAAGAGAAACAGCATCACTATTCCAACACAAAATTACTGAAACTATAGCTCAAAATTTGAATTCCAATTACATTCTATAAAAGCTAATTGGTACAACTATACCAGGTTACAGAGAAGAAAACATAGGTATTTCGTGACAAGTTTAGCAGATATATGAAAGTTTTAAATGAAAGAGGGGGGACTTTCTAATGACAAATACATGAAAATATACAGCCAGATGTGCGTTGTTTTTTATAAACAATGTGGAAAGCTCAAAATTCAGTATTTTGCTTGTATAATTTTCAAATTAAATTTTATAAATAATCTTTCAATTTTATTTTATAAGAATTAAAATCGACATACGAGGCTTGCTAGCAAAGCTAGTAAATGGCTAAAAATGTGTGAGTGATGGCATCAATGTGTGCTAAATTTCAGCTGGATCGGCTTAATAGTTTATGTAAAAAGCTACCTGTCTATCACAGCGACGAAATATTTAAAAAACTGTTTTGTCCAAGATATGGTCCCAGCACATTTTACAAAAGTATAATAGATTCTTGAAGGTTTCAACTTCAAGAATTCATGAAAAAAAATAATTATTCATTTCAAAATTGTTAAAAATGAAAAATTGCCATCTTTATAGTTATGAAGATTTACAATAACTCCGTCATTTTTCAATATAATTGATTTTAACAAGTTGATCTGGTTCTGGAAATCATTGATTTTTACTCTCACTCTAATAAAATAACATATTTTACAATAAAATTGCTTAAACAATTCATAATGCAGTTAATTGGTATACTCTTTATTAGAGTGTATTTTGTTAACTGAAATATTTTTTTTTTTGTTTTTTGGCACTAGGACATTGCGTCCCATTAGCCAGATCCAATCTTGTATATGTATATCTCTAATTATGGACAAACACACGACGTCACAACATCCATGGCAAAAGATTTACTGGAGTACCTTCACTCTCTAAGTGGCTATTTTCTTAAATACCTTTGAATTAATAGTGAAATTATAACTGGATCATAAAATTAAGATCCTTGATTAAAATCTGTGAAAATTTAGAGTCTTAATGTTTATAAACAAAGGAGATATTAATTAAAAAAATATCTTGGCTGCTATTGGTCGTAGAAGGTTTTTTAAAATGCGTTTTTAACTGCTTATCCAGATCAACTTGTTAAAATAACATACTGAAAAATAACAAGGTTATTGTAAATGTTTATAACTATAAAAATGACTATTTTTTAAGATCATTTTTAACAACAATTTTGAAATCAATAATCAATTTTTTGCATGAATCCTTGAAGCCGAAACCTTTAAGAATCCAATTTACATTTGTAAAATGTTCTAGGAGTATATCTTGGGCAAGAACAGTTGTTTAAATAATTTGTCCATGGGATAAAGCTTTTTACATAAACTATTAAACCGAACCGGCAAAAATTTAGCACACTCATTAACACTAATGATGCCCTTATTCTCCCAACTTTTTAGCCATTTACAATTGTTATTGCAATGAACATTCATTCATTATTGCTAAAAAGCCCGGTATTTAGCTTAATTGTTCATTGATTTTAATTCTTAAAAAACAAAATAAAGGTCGTTTAATGCTCTAAAACCTCCAGTTTACCGTTTATTTATAAGTCTTAGTTTGAAAATGATACAAGCAAAATACTGAATTTTGGAATTTTCTAATTGTTTGTAAAAAACAAAGTATGTCTGGTAGCATCTGTTTATGTCTTTGTCATTAGAAAGACCGCCCCTTCCATTTAAAACTTTCAGATATCTGCTAAACTTTTTTCACTTTTTATCTAGCCTGGACTAGAAAAATCATCGAAGTTTTTATCAGTATAACGTAGGGTTGCTATAAATACTTTAGCCAATGTCGGGACACTTTCACCGGGGGGAAAAACTTTATTCAACAAAAATAAAATGCAAACATTATCTATAACCTATAACACTTCCTAACTAACAAACATAAAAGCATTGCTGACCTATCAAGGAAAAACTCTTTCAACGTTTGCGTTAGGAATTCTGAAAAGCAATCTTGACTTATCGATTTAAAATAGGCTACCCATTTCTTATGTGCTAATAGCTTCTTGAAATCAACGTTCTCTTTGTTAGTATTCAGAAAACTTAAGATTTTGCAGTTGGTCAAAACATTTGCTATCGTCGATTTTAACGTTCTTTTGCAATAGGATACTTATAGTATCGGAAACTTGATTCCATTCAGGAACATCTTTTAAAGTCATCCATGTGAAATGTTTTGTGTCTTTGTATAAGTTTTCAGTCCATGATCGGCAGTGCTCGCTTGTTTGCGAAATGTAAAAAGCCTAACAAAAGCCGGACAAGATGGACACCGTTTATTTTAGCCGGACATGCAATCAAAAAGCCTAACTATGTCCGGCTTTATCCTGGCAACGCTACTCATGAGGGCCGCCAAAAAATGTTTGCCCCGGGACCCCAGGACTTCTAGCTACGCCACTGGTGGCCGTCCCGATATACTATATATTATATCGAGACGATGGCAAACCTAGTATAACGCCAAATTAACTGCTTTTCTCTTTATCGCCACGAGGAGGATTGGTGGGTGGGACACAACCGGGGAAACCGTGATTATCCTCTCAAAACTAAAAAATATCAATTTGGAGTATTTCTGTAAAAGATAACTATTCCAAAAGTTGAGTTAATCGTTTAATTATGCACACGATTGATCAGATTCAGTAAGATTAATTTGGAGATGGGGGAGCACGTCCGGCGAGTTAGTTCAGCATTAAACAAGTCTGAAAAATATTTTTCTATGGCCCTACACAATTATTTATGCGTCAACACGTTTAACATGCCACGAAACTATGTTTAAAAAATATCATACCTGTTAATACACACTTTTTCTCAATATGGAGACTCGTTGTTGGAGACGGGGAGCACGTCCGGAGCGTTAATCCACCATAAACAAGTCCGAAAAATATTGTTCAATGGTCCTACAAAATTATTTACGCGTCAACACGTTTAACATGCCACGAAACTATGTTCAAAAGATAAAGCAGCGGTTAAAACACACTTTCTCAAAAATCGCCTAATTTCGCAGATTAATGGAACTCATCCAACGCCAGCTACGAAAAGAATGAGACCAGGGGAGGGGAAAGTATAGTCTTACCCCTACGTTGTTATTTCGAAGTAGGTACTGGATAAAATTTGGCGGTAGATTTTAATTCGAATAGACGGTTTCTAATTGATTGATAGGTTTTGGGTTTTTTATGTTCAGTTACTATTTATATGAATTTATTATATCACATTTCGGTATTTTGTAAAAGAATTATTGAAGTTTTCATCAGTAAAGCGCCAAATTAACTGTTTTTCTCTTTTCGCCAATAGGAGGATTGGTGGGGGTATAGAGGAGTGTAGGGCAACGGTGATTCTCCTGTCAAAATTCAAAAATATTAATTCGGAGTATTTTAGTAAAAGAAAACTATTTCAAAATTTGATTTAAATTATGATTATATAAGATTGATCAAAATCAGTACGATTAATTTGGAGAAGTTAGAGTATCTAGATATATTTTGTATTAATAGGGGAAGCGGAAGTACGTCAAATACTCTCCCCTCTCCCCGCTTAGTTATCTAAGGAAAAGAAAAGGACAAGGTGTATGTCTTAGCGTCTTTGATCTTCTCTTTTTACTTACGTGTGTTCTAGAAGTTTGGATGACGTAATTCTAGAAAACGTTACATTTTCAAATATACAGGTACTGTTTTCCAGATGTGACAAGATAAATTGATGAAAAATTGTTTCGGCCTGAAAAATATGGAATTCAGGATATGCATAAATCATATATGTATGAAGGTCAATGCTGCCGTCGACATTTTTAATACCTTCAAATTGGTTATCTAGTACCATATTTGTAAGGATACTCTACAGATTTTGTATAGGGTTTCATATACCAAACATTATATAATACAGGTATATGCCGAACGTGCGGTAGACTTTGTTATTAATTAAAAAAAACAGCAGTTCAGAAAAGTCTGAGGTATCTGTATATGCTTTTTTCATTTATATATCCTTGGTAAAATTAATGAATTTGTCAGAAAATATTATCAATTTTAATCGGGTACCAACCAACAGCACTCTTTTCCTTAAAACGTTAGAATTTGAGAAGGATTACACGTTCTCATCGCTCCTATAAAATGAGAAATTATCAGATACTGTCTTCTGGTTTATGACGGCAGAATAGTCCTAGCATCTTCGTGCTATAGTCACTTGAACGAATTATTTATTCAATAAACCCCTGGGCAGTATTATAAAATCTAGCCCTTTTTAATGAATTTATCACAGTTCCTTATATCAAATTACAATCGCCATACGCGACAAGCCGAGGAGGGTTTATTTCTGTGTTTTACTAGCCGTTCAATGGAACTACAGATGTACAGGTTGCCCAAACAGTAAATTTGCTTCAATAAGTACTGAAAGCAATGATATTGCATATCATAGCTAGTTTACATACAAAATCTAGCCTTTTCAAAATGAAACCATCTCAATTTGCGACATGCATAGTTCAAAAAAGTATGCAATTAACCATACAGATAGGTATAGCTGGTTGTCTATAACATTCTTGGTACCTTTCGAGGAACCGTTTTGTACAGTGTCGCGCATGCTCATTTAGGACAAGGACAGTACAACTGTTGACGGGTGATTGTCTCTAGCCTCCTACCAAATTGTAACAGTGCTGAGTATTTTTTATTTAAAGATCATTTATTGATATTGTTATTTACAAAGACGGCTCGAAAAAGCTGGTCATTTATTTACTATGGGTACCTTCCAACAACGCCGTGTGCCGTACAGTGAACAGTCATGCGTCGAGCGCGTGCATTAATATCCTGCCACGTTGCCAGCTCTACATATAATTCTGAGATTGCTATACTTTTATATACTATATACTTTGAAGTTGAGTCATTAATTTTCAGATAATGATTGTAGAAGGAAGATAAACCAAAATATGTGTGTAAAAATAAAAAAAATTAAAAAAAAAATGTTTACCTTGTTTTATAAAGTATCCTCCCGACAAGTATTTCAGTGCGGACCTGTATTTGATCGTGAGGTCCCCTGTGAGGTCTTAAGTCACCTGATTCACGAGCCCGTTGTACTACATTAACAAAGGCACGAGGGGTTGGTTGCGCTCGATTGGGAAACCGATCCGCATAAACATTTGCCATTTTTTTATTTTGTTTGAGCCACGCAACAGACAATATTCACACGCGTTACCGACTGACACTGACTGTATGTATAACTGAACTGAATAAAATAATTGTAAAAACATCGTTCCAAATTCTTTCGCTTTTTTGTTTCCGATGCGATGAACCGATACGGCGGATTATATCCGTTGTCGCCAAACACGAGCACATAATATTATTATTGAGACAGGGCGGTACTCAAACTTCCAAAGGGCTATAACTTTATTACTTTAATTTTACCAGACAAATGGTAAAGGAAAAAAACATTTCTTTTGATGAGATCTACTCACTGTTAAAATAAATGACTCAACTTCGAAGTCCCTGTATATATATATATATATAGAAATTTGGTGGGAGATGGGAGATCTTACGAGTATAACAACATGTGTTATTAACATTTTGCGCTATCTTGACGAGTAAATGCTTTTTTTGAATGTTAAAATAGCAACGTCTATAACACAAGCTGTTATAAGACCACTCATATCTACTAAGTAATCTGAAAAGATTCAGAAGAAAAACATATACTGCAAATACCTAAATATATATTTGTTATATAAATCTCATACATTTTTCTAAAAACATATCAGTATTAACATCATTATGGTCCAGATGTTTGCATTCCCCAGCCTTTTTTGGCACCTGCATAAATTAAGAATTAGAAAAAAATTGAATTGTGTTGATATGTTTCTACAATTCACAGATTTATTTTTTATTAGAACAATAATATAATTGTCCTCGGGTACCACAGGAATTTTTCTCAGATGTGCTGATCATCATCAAGAGATAACTGTTACCACAGCCCCCCTGAGGGCACCCATATAACAATACTTGGCTTTGCTGATTTAAAACGAAGTAAGAAAACTAACTTGGACAGAAAGCAATACAAATCATCATTAGTTATTGAGTCATATAAAAACTTACAAATGTTGTGTTCTGCAAATATCCTTCAGAGCTGAGCCTTTTGATTAGATCAGAAGTAATCTCTGAGCTTCTGATAATTCTCAGGACCTCAGGGGTTGACAACGGCAGCTGTTGAACTTTTCGTGGTGCTCCACTGTTCAAAGAGTGATGTGGAGATACAAGCAGGTACGATCTTCAAATATTACATTCCTCAAATGAGTAACCACTGCATCTCTGATCTTCCTCTGGATCTGCCAGAAGCCTGGCTAATGACTTGGATTACCTTAAAAGAGAAAGTTTTGAGGTGGAGTTTGTCTTAGAGTATTTAAAAACATATGTATTACAGCTTTGTGTATTTACAATGTTATACTTCACAACTCCGAACAAAATGCATATGGCTCAAATAACATAATAGGGACTTTATTTAATTAAGATGAAATGTTAAGAAAATGACATGCTGAAAAACTAAGGTTATTTTTGCAAAAAGCACATGAAGAAACCCGCCGGAAATTTAAATCTGGCAATGAATCTGGCCAATCGGACAACGTCAGTTGTGAATAAGTCGCCATTTTTTGAGGGTGCGACACGGTTGTCATATTATGCACATGCAACACTGCTTTTCTTCCCATTCGCCAATATGAGTTTCACCCCCCTGGTTTTAAGCGTTCAAAAAAATGATATGCATGTAAAAGTGTTTTCTGTCTAAACCGGGTTGATTGATTCCGATTCTGAAGATTATCAGAATTTTATAAATCTCAAGATATTTTCAAAACTCGGGACATTTTCAAAACTTTGGATACCTTAAAAATTTACACGATTTTCAGAATTTTCAAAATTTTCAATTTTCAAAACATTTTAAAATATCAAGATTTTGAAAGTTTTCTAGTTTTTTTAGAACTTTTGATTTTTTATTGCTCTTTCAAAATCCTGAAATTTTTTAAAATATGAGAGCTTAGAAAATACTGAAAACCGAAAACATTAACTGTGTGAAATGCAATTGTTAAATCATCACTAGAGGAGCAATCAAGGGTGTCTTATTGTTCATTTAAAATCCAAGGGTTGCTCAGCCCCCCATCCGTGCTCCCTTCATCAAGTACAATGGACCGATGGTCAAAATCCTGGATTCAGCCATAACAATAGGAAAACAAATTCCTCACCCAACGAACAATTAAACTGACCACATTGGATCATTAGTCTTTTTGGAATATAGTGGCCTCACGCCACTGTGCATAATTATCGATGATAATGACAATCTTGATATCCCAAAGAGAATTAGCTTTAATACAATGTGACCAGTGGCGTAGTAGAATTTTTCTCGGTGATTAGAAGAGGTGCAAACATAACCGGCTTCGATATGGATAACTGATAAAAAGGCAAACTTCTCGAGATGATATTGCGCCAGTGGCGTAGCTACCTTGGCTGACACCCGGTGCGGAAGTTGGTGGTGTCACCCCATCGAAAGTCAAAAGCAATACATTTTATATGATTTATAAACGTTATTATATTTATATTTATTTTATATTGAACAAATAACAAAACACAATAAAAACTAAAACAGAAAAATGATGTTTATCTTACAATTAAAATCTCTTCGTTCTAGCTGACTGCTGCAAACTCAGAAATAACTTCATCAAAATTTATGTTTTGCATTGTCTTATGTTCGATAGATAATATATCAAGATTGCTAAGCCGCGATTGGGTCATTGTTGCCCGCAAATAGTTTTTTTATTAATATTAGTTTACTGAAACTCTAGCGCGAACATAAGATTTGGAAGAGATTCTGTAAAATCCCATTCTACAATGAACTTTAAAAAATCTAGAGATACCTAATCAGAAACTGTAAAATTAGCGGCTTTTAAGTGTCTTCGCAGTCTTGGTATCTCCAAAAGTAATTCTGTTTCTGAGACCTCATCATGAAAATCAGTAAATTTGGATGTAACTAATTTTAGTTCTCCATTATAAACATCAAGCTAGATCTTGAAGAGACT